AAGAACTGTTGCTCTCACCAGCCTCCACAATGTGGTCCAAAGTTGGGAACCGCTTGTGAACTCTTGTGCTAATGGAGCGGAGAATAAGGACTGAAGATAAATTGGCATATCTCATGAGGGTTCGTCTCAGCAGACGGCCGTTCTCATCAGTCCCGTGGACGTTCCCAGACACCACCATCATCAGGTTGTCAGGCAGTGGGAAGCTGGTGTACTGACCCCACCACCTATTAAAGGCCAAGGTTACATAGAAACCTAGAATAAAACAAAAAAAAAGAGAGAGAAAGTTCATGCATATGATTTTTTTTTTTAGTTTTTTAACTGCTGTATGATTCATTCTTACCGAGCACAAACAAAACAGGGATGTAGTTGGTGTTGGTGAACTGATCACAGTAAAGGGCGATACGCTCAAACAGATCCTGCTGCCTCCGTGTGAGGAGAAACCTGTGGAGCAACATAAAATTGTCACTGCGAGACAGACAAGCAAAGCTAGGTAAGAGTAAGAGCGGTATGAAAATGTAAATATACCTGTAAAACAAACTGAAAAACAAATAAACACTACAAAACACCAGTAACTCCTTGTAGAGCAGCCTGTAGATGCTTCCCTTCCACCTGAACAGGAGCCTGGAAAAGCCAGCAAACCTGGCATTGGCCACCTCAAGACTGTAGGAAACTGTCATGTTTAAGCACAAAATCCCTGAAAAGCATTAAAAGGCATTTAAATGTATGTTTAATAATTACATATACACAAAAGACTTTTCAAGACCTGTTCTATCTCCACCTGTGCTGAATCCTGTTGTCCTGAGAAGAAAGTTTCTTCCTCTGGGCCTGAATTTAAAGCTCTCTGTGGTGCTGTCATAAATTAACACCTTAGTTTTATTACTTGGGAACCTGCAGCCTAAGTGAAACACACCTACAGTTACAGACTGCATGAAACATCTCCTTTTAAGCTCACATAACAGGCTTGAGTGATCAGCAATCAAGTTATTATTCAGTAAACCTTTACAGTAAAAGTTATAATTTATAAGATTCTCAGTCAACACAAAAGTGTTAATAATTATTGTGTTAATTCCTCCTGTTAGAGCTGAGCTGACTTAAATATTTTTAAAAAGTTAAATTATTCTTACAGCTGTCATTTATTCTAAAAAAATAAAAATAAAAATAATAATTAATGATATGCAAAAGCAAAAAACAAAACAAAAGACAAAAAAAATCTAGTGTTGTATCACATTAAGCAAACAGAAACACTAAATTATTACATGTCAGAGGCAGTTTGGGTTAAAAAAGACATTTTATTTATATACAAATTATACATATATATGGCAGCGAGGTGTCATGGTGTTTAGCACTGTTAGCTCACAACAAGAAAGTCTGAATCCAGCATCTGTCTGAGGCCTTTCTATGTGGAGTTTGCAAGTCCGAAAACGTGGAGTTAGTGGGGTTAGGTTAATTGGTGACTCTAAATGGCCCATAGGTGTGACTTTGAGTGTGAATGGTTGTCTGTCTCTCTGTGTTAGCCCTGTGACAGACGGACGACCTGTCCAGGTGTACCCCGCCTCTCACCCCGTGCCAGCTCCAGTCCCCCCATGACCCTAAAGTGGAGAAGCAAAGAGGATAGATCGATGGATAATCTATATAAATTTATATTTTTAATGAAATTTGTAAGCAAACAATTGGATTGCAGCTTCTTCTAAACTATGTATGATTTATCACACTCAGGAATGCATTTTTTATAAGAGCAGACTTTATAATAATCGTGTATAATGTTACATAATGAAGTCATTCCAGTTCATATTGGATTGTAATCTCTGCAGGGGAATAGCTCTTTATATTACTTCTAAATATTTAGAATTGAGGATTTATTTTATGATCAAGACTGTCATCTATTTTATAAATGTATCCATTTTATGTGCTTATTTGAGAGGACTCTATCAGCTGTGTCAGTTTCACGGTTTGATGATGTATTTATTACTGTTATTGACTTACTTCGTCTTGTTAACCATAAGGTTAAATTATGCTTTAAAAAACTTGCATATTAAATTTTAACATGCAAAAATTTAACATGCTAATGTTGTTGCACAATTGCACAAATCTGCTGTTGTTTTTTAATCATTTGTTCTTATTTCCACCTATGTTTCACATATGGCTACCTTCATACTCTACAATTACATATGCACATATAAAGAAACCTGTACTTTCTTGGGTTTTTGGGCTTTGTCACTTATGACTTTCTCCTCAAAAAATGTGTTGACTTTGTCTTATGTAACAATAACAAATTACACATAATAAAAATGTGTCTTTTTAAGCTATATGTAATACTATTCTGACTGCTGTATGTGCCTTTTCTGTTCAAATAAGGTTTACTTACATATGTAAAGTAGAAAGCAATATTTAAGTGAAAACGCACTGCACACTTTTTCTGTCGACATGCCTTTTTCTGATGTAACACAAATAAGTACTTTGGACCTGCTATCTCAGCATCCTGCCACAGAAAATCAAACAGAGCGCATGCAGATTGATTGCTCGGCAGAGGCCGCTAGGTGCGTAGACTGTGTTATTTACTGGTGACTGTGATAGCAGCAGTCTAAACATCAGAGCTGTCAGAGGTGTCCATCCCTCCAGTCTCCATCCTTTGTAACTGGTTGCTGTGCTTAGCTCACTTGTTTGTTTTTCACATAGTTACAGCTCCTCACTGTAAATCAGACTCTTCTTTTCCAGCCCTGCTTTGGACACTGGCTCTGTTTGCTCACCTCTGAGTGGACATTTATGAGGCCATGTATCCTCCACTGGAGCCTGGATCACTGAGGACTTCCCCATTCCCAGCCTGAAACCGAGTCTCACAGTGTTTACATTTTTATTTGCACTGATTTTTTGTTTTACTAGGAGATTTAAATATATATATATATATATATCCACGATAAAAATGATGAACTAATCTGAATTCCTGACACTAGGTGGCATTATTGTAATGTGCAGCATGGCTTTCAGCCTCAGCCTTTAGGCCTGTATTTACTTCATAAACAGAGACACCCAGAGGCTCCTTTATTGACAGAAAACAATCAAAGGAACATCTGACATATTTAACACTTTGTTTGGATTTTATGTCAAAACTCTCTCTTTATTACTGGCTCCAGAAATGTTAAAAGTCTTGCTTTTTACTTTGCTTCCCTCGTGAGTATCAAACTGACACACAATGGTTCGTCTGTGATCTTGATCTATAGATGAAACACACGCCCAGATTAGCATCCATGGATACTCAGACAACTGTTTCAGCCTAGTCATTTCCTGCCTTTGGCTACTGATTGTGGCTAAGATCTCTGAGAATGGCACTTCCATGCTGATCATTTTGGTAACCCAATGCTGTAATTACAACTTCCCACGGTGAGTGAAATTAGAGCTCAAAAGAGGGATTTCAGGTAGCTGGGGTCAGCCTGGGTCATTGCCAGGGCAGAAAGGGGAACATAGAAAAAGATTAGGAGTCTGTTTTCAGAGATACTGAACACAAATACTTAAAGACAAGCTTTTATTTCTCTGTCAACAATATTAAAGTGTATACA